CAAAAGATTGGATATAGTTATTAATTATTTTATGTCACTTCCACTAATTGATGTAAGCATTGGTCACTCTATAAATGACAAGTTTTCTTCCTTTTTTATTACACTAGTTAGACTCATATTTTTTTAATAAATATACATATTTTTAAATTTAAATGTCATACTATAAAAAATATCATAAATAAAAATGACATTCGATTATATAAGTATGTATTTTTATTTAAAAAATAACGGATAGAACCACCTACATTCTAATGCAAAATTTTGTGTATTTATCGATGCCCTTGTTTCATTTTTTTTATCCCATACCAAACAAAACAAAATTTTTTCTTAATAAAAGCTAGTATAACATGTCTTTCTAATTATTACCACAATTTTTTTCTTTATCCAATAGCGAGACGTTCCCACTAGTTCAAGTGGCAATGTCATAAAGCTGAACCTTACATTTTTACCAATAATTATTTTGAATATCACCCAATAAACTTAGGCCTAACTTCTTCATAGAACACAAAAATATTTATATTATCAAAACTGTTGTTCAAAAATTCTATGGAGCCCATTTCAATAAAAAATAATTTGTGACAAAAACAAAGTTCATACCAATTGGCATGCATATTTTAAAATTAATTTATTTTGAAATAGTAAAAATGTTAACCCAAAAATTTATTTGAATGAAAAATCAGATCAAATAATCGATTGATTAATTAATATTTCTAATAAATATCAAAGAAAAAAATAATTAATATTATATCTTATAAAATATTACATGATAATGAAATGTAAAATAAATAATTAGTCGAGTTTGTTGTATAATAAATATAATAAAAATTGAGAAATGAATTTTTGAAGGTAGAAGGTCAGTCGAGTTCAAATAATAGACCACAAGCGTGTGGCGAAAGAGTGGTACAATGGTCCATGGCATTCGCCAAATGAAATGGATTTGGACACGTGTCAATTTCTCGACGGTGTGATCCTCTGCACACCGGCGCACGCTACAATTCCCACATCATTAAGCTATCTGTGATGAGCCACGCGTAACGACCTCGTCCCATGTTTCAACACGGAGAATATTTTGTGCAGCTGGAGATGGGCCATGCACGGGCCCATTAAGATAGGACGGGTCCATTACCATGGTTAATTGTGTGTTAAACGAAACGAGTCTGATGGGAAACTCAGCTAGGCTTGAGTTCGACTTATATTGTTCGATAAATAAATCAAACCCGAGTTCGTTTAAAACTCGTTGAGACTCGGAGATAAAGGGTTTTAAGTACTTTTCCTAGTTGATTTTAATTCAACTCGTTAAGGTTGGAATTCGAGTTGTTAAAGTTTGAATTTGATTTTTTAATATTGATAAATAAATGAGTTTGAGTTCAAAAACTAGAAGTGCGAGCATATTGATTTGTTTATACTTTTCACCGATATATCTTGATTTTGTTTGTACAATAAATAAATGGGATAAAATGCAATTTTGGTCCTATTATATTATGAAGGCAACGTTTTGAGTTCTACTGAAGTGACATATAACAATTTAAGCTCTGCAATTTAAATTGTTTTTTGCAATTTTAGTTCTTTTGACCGTTTCCAATTTTGACGGTTAAAAGTACTGGAATTGCATCAAAACTTTAAATTAGAGAACTTAAATTGCTAATAAAGTTCATCCAAAATATGTAAATTGGGAATTTTGACGGAAACGACTGAGTAGCAACAAAAATTTACATTACATGACTTAAATCTTATATGCCACTCTAATGAATCTAAATTGCTACATTAATAATATAATATGACCAATTTTGTAATTTAGCCAAATAAATGTGATGACATTAGTGTATGAAAACAATGACTTATTAATGCATATATTTGAGATTTTGAATGAGTTGAGAAAACTACCACCAACTGATAGTTTGTAAGGTGCATATTATCCAACATTAGCCTGATTTTGTAGCAAGATTATGGCTTTCGTATATGATATATTCAACCCTAAATCATGACGTTTAATTAAGATGGGTCAACAAGACCTGAGCTTTGATTTAACAATTGATCGATCAAACAAACTCTAATTAGACTGAATTTTTCAGAGTTTGTTCAATATAACTAATTGAGAATCTTTAAATTGCTCTCTAACTCATTTGTAGTCGTTTATTAATTCACATATATCCGGGCGAGTCTTATAATTTTTTATTTTTCCTGGAAATAATATTAATCTAGCTAGTTTATGACGAGAAGACGTGTTAAGTGGACCAGCATAATTAAAATACATTAAACATTCAAAAAAATATTTCGATATGATATTATGAAGTGTGCAAATATTCTAGTCTAGGAGATTTGTTGAACAATGACGCACGTTTTCTGTGATTGTAGCACGACTTATATTGTATAATAATAATGCTAACATATACATTTTTTTCAAAGATAATTATTGGTTTGAGGATTTAATTTATTCTTGGCATCTTTTAGCTTCACTTTTATTTGTCCATCTTTTAATTTACAAGTCATGTATATATTGAATTGAAAATATATAAAAATTCTTAAAAAGGTATAAATAGATTTTATAATTTCAAAAACTTGAATATTTTTATACATAAATTATATTTAATTCTATTTAAAATGATAATTTTTGAGTCGCACCATTCAACATATATGTAGTGTGCTACGTAATATTTAATGTACGTTAAAAATTTCCAGCTAGAATATATTGATATATAAGATTTAGGAGCTCTAAATAGTAACACATTAAAATTATGATATAAAGAAGTCTCATGGGCGCTAGATGATAACACATCAAAATCACAATAAAGATTCAGATTTATATGGTCTAATTCGAAGCAGTATTTTAAATGCCGTACTTGTGGTCATACTGGTTTAGTCACCCGTACGCGGTATTACTGGTCAGACCGGTAATATGGGTGGTATTATCAGACAAACAAATATAATGATATATATAAATATACATAAAATATATAATATCAAATACAAAAAAGTATAAAAATAAATGACCATAATCATTAATTTCAACTTCTCAATGAAAAAAAAATAAAACATTCTAACTACCAATTTAAATTTTATGTTTTTAAATTAATAAATTTTACCCTTTTTTTAAAAAAAAAATTGTTGACCGGTATTTTCTGATATTTACGGTATGATCCTGGTACAAACCGGTTTAACCATAAATCCGGTATTTTGTGTGTAATTGTACCGTATCAATGGCCGATATCCAATATTAACGACCGGTACTGTACGATATTTCACTGATTCGAAGTATAAAAAATTTGGTACATAATGTTAAAAAGCACAAAAAAAAAACATAAAACTATAAAATACCAATTAACACATGAATTTAAAAAAGTCTTCATTGATATATAGAGAGAGAATTTAAAAAGAGAGTTAACTTTTAAAATAGTTATGAATCCTTAAATGGCCGTATTATTGCTCACATTTTATAAATATATCAATATAGAGAATATTA